CTCAATATTTTTATTGTCTAAAAAGGTTGCCCAATTTGAATTATACCATATAGCAATCATTTTTTATATTTTATAATGTATTGATTCTTTCTATCATTAAGTCATTAATTGTTTCTTTAACGACATCGCATATTTTATCATAAGTTGTAATGATAATTTTTTTCTTTGACAAACCAGCTATTTGAAATACTATTTTTCTTACATGAGTGCATTTTAAAATAACCAAAAATCCTGCATCAAATTCTCCTTTTCTAATTCCTTCAATATCTAAATTCCCCACCCTAATAGTAGACTCAACTTCATTTACATTTATCCTGTCTAATTATTAAGATCATGTAATTAGATATTAAATACTGTATAAAAAAAGAAATATTAATAATTTGCCAATAGAACTTTTAAAATATGCTTTACATTGAAAAACAAAAGTAAATCTGTTCACCTCTATTACTATGTCTTTATCACCATCTCCACGTTTACTAAATTAATAATATTAATAAGTTTTGCTTCATAGCCAAAACATGTATTCTATTCACCAGGTTAATCCCAGAACTATCGCACAATGGAAATCAAACAACCAAGAAAAACGTTCTATGCTAAAACATAGGCCACAAAGAGCTTTCAATTCTTGGATATTTTACGCTAACCTGGTAGCGTAACTTCGAATACGTAATAACTCGACAAAACTCGTGAGAAAATACTTACCTAGTGTGAACAATTTTGGCATCCTGAATTTTAAACACATTTAAAAGACTTACACAAAACTTTTCAAACCTCTCTCCCAAATTTTTACTTGATTCTCCTTTAATTGATTTGAAAACTTCGTCACCCATATTAAAATGACTAAAAGTTAAATAACCATCTTACCTAGATTAAATATTTTCTATTTTTGAAAAAAAGTTCATTATTGTTAAAAAAAAAAAAGCTTATTCATGCAAAAAAATAAACGTACAAAAAAGATCAATATTTTAACCTGTATCAATATACCAGGAACGGAGTACAAAGTACATAGCATTTGGAATGCTGTGTCTCTTGTATCTGATTGGTTAATATATCCTTGTGACTTCTGAATATATTTTTATATTTATACATTCTCTATGGGGCTTTGATCTACTGTATCGTATGCAAAAAAAAAAACAGAAACTTATGCCAAAACTGATATAACCTGTAACTCGCTAAAAATCTACTTTCCATTCCTGGTTTTGCGTGACAACATCGTGCAGTTACTTATTAAATACTAAATTTGGTGCTAAATAAAAATTAAATTGTGTTACATACTTCAGTTAATTAACTTTCCAAATATGCAAGTTTTGTGTTAAATTTATATTTCTCATATAAGCAATACAGATAATGGCATTTATTCCTTTTCTAAGCTATAATACAGAGCAATATATTTGAATTTCATTGTTTCTTTGAAAATATCATATTATTGATTAATTTCGATTTGTATAAGTTTAAAAGTAATGTCTTAAAGGTGAATTATGATCA